GGGAGTTGCGCAATACATATCTAACACTACAAGCTATGCAAGTTTTTAAATATAAACTCAATCTAAACAACGTTCATATTAAACATTATTAAATGTTCCCTTGATTATTTTTAATCAGAATCACTTATCTTCTTTGATGTCTTCATTATGTATGAGTCTCACTTAAATTGTTTATATTACCATGTGACTTATGTTCCTTTGACACTTTTGGCCATTAGGCTGTGTTACAAGATATTTGTCTTTCAATAAGGTGATCTCAGTAAATATATTTACATGTATAGAAATACAATAGTAAAAAATCCCCAATTTTTCACATTAACTTGTTTCCTTATCAGGAGAAGCTTGTCAGTAGAAGTTGATTAGGTTTTATAGCATCTTCTTTTGCTTCTGGTTGTCATTATTTTGTAGAGTTCTGTGTGTAATATCCTTTGATGCTTGCTGCATCTACTTGTACTTTTTATTTGGCCTTATGTAGATATAAACTTTGCTCTTGATGACTCTCTATCTCTAAATTTTTTGTGCATCATCTCAGATTTATGTTAGTCTGTGGACCCCTAGCTTTGTGTTCAGTGGGTTAATCAGATTTTTCGGTTTAATTTTGCTATTCATCATTTCTTCCAATTTCAACTCTTCTAGTTTATATTTGATTTTGGAACTGGATGTTTAATTTTTTTCCAGATCTGGGTTATCAGTGTTGTACTTCAGATTTCCTCAGGGTGTTTACTCTCATCTCTTTTTGGAGCAGAAGGAAACAGGAGATTGGAACTAGTATTACATCTTTCCAATCTAATTTATTGTCTAGATATTCCTACTTTCTGGATGGAACCTATGAGAATTTATGAAAGTTCCTTCATCAAGGTTTTCGGATGATGAATGGAGTTTCTGCAGATACTTATTTACACATCCAGATTCACCCATCTTCTCATCATTTCCTTCATTTTTCACACTGTGGAGTAGTTTATTAGTTTACAGTTATCCTTTTTTGGTCTGGACTTAGCACCTCAAGTTTTCATGTGTGTAACTAAGCAACTAGCTGGTCTCCTACTTACTCAATATCAGTTGTCATCATTACATTAATTGTTGAAGGATTCTTCCCAGAGAATCTAACTAGGAAGCAAGTTCAGTGTAGAATAATGAATGAGCAAGAATCCTTCAACAATTAATGTCTCAAGTCTCAAGTTTGGTAGATTGACTAGATTTCCAAGCCGAAAAACTGGGACATCACAACCCTTGCCCATAATTTCAAAATGGTTATTACAATTTTGAAATAATTTAACTTTTATGTAATTTACTTTGAATTTAATGAACTGTTCCACACTATTGCCAAATATATTAATATTGACATTATTTTTTTAATAATTTCAATTACTTTTTTGGTGATAGACACACATTCACCAATTGCTATAGATCTATTACAGTATGACTAATATAAAAAGCCTGTGCATACCTGGGTTTCTCACCATGCACAGATGGAACTTTTGAGAGAGTTTGGTGGTAGGAGAGTATGTTATTACAACAATGAGCAAGTCAAGCATGCCTATTATGTTCGTGATTCAATGTGACTACCAAACTACTAAAAAATGGGACTGTCCCATCAAAACCAGGATGTCTGGTCACCCTAATGTTTTGCCTAATCAATATCTCATTCCTTAGGGACTTCAGGTTAATGCTTTTCCAGGAACTCATAACCTATCTCCTTTGGGTTTGCCATCCTGAAGGTTTTGTGTGTGCATACTTCTCCATTTGCTCAGTACATCCTCTGTTTGGAATAATGGCTTCTCATGGATTGTACTTACTTGAAAGATACTGTCAGTAACATTTTACCCCTTTTGGAGTCTATTATCATATCTTTTGTGTATTGGAATTTAACTGATGTGTTAGGGGATCCTCCTCTTTTAAGACTGTAGTCTTCATTGATATCCCATTATCATATCATTCTGTTGGAGCTTTATGTCAGGAGTTCCTGCCCTTGTTACACCAACACTGTGTTTTAGTACTCGCAGACAATTCAACTATGGTGGGATATATGAAAAGGCAGAGTAGGGCTCAATCTCACAACCTTAGTTTGCTGCAGTCTCTCTCATTTTTTAAGTACATTCACACCATGTCTTTGTCTGAGCTAGTATTTCATTGTTTGTGCCAAAGGTTTGGTCATACTATGCTTGATGCATTCTTGATGGCAGAGTATCATCTTCTTATGCTTTAATAGCTTCCAGTTGTGTGTTTACCTTCTGTAGTAGTGGATTCTTTGAGCCCATTTTGGGAGAATTTGTTTTCTTTATGTTTACTGTCTTCTTCATTTTCCTTTTTGAGTATTGGCCAAGATCAGTTGGTCCTGTCATCAAGATCTTCTACCACTCTCACATGTCTTACAGGGATCCTATTCCATTACTATTTGATACATGTTCCGTGGCTGACTGTCATGTTCTTTGATAGATTGTTTAGGAAGAGTATTCCTAATGAGTACGCTGGAATGGGTGGCAACTGCCTGTTGTAGAAAAAACACATGTTGTCGTGTTATTCTTTGTTAGTGGAGCTAGCATTTATTCTTGTGCATGTCTGGTGGTTTAACAGTATTTTTAATACAGCATTACTGCTCTCCAAAACGACCCTTTTGCCTGAATTAATAGGCATTATAAGCAAAGAGATACTCTGATGAAAAGAATACCTTCTTTCTGAATGTCCTTTAGATCCAGTGTTATATAAGGTTGCTCCACTCCACTTATTCTCTCTCAAGTCCAGTTATGGTTCTGGATTTTACTCTGACTTTGTTAGCTACGTATCTCTTTTGGTTCAGATTATTTTCTTCCTGCCATGTAGTTCATAGTTTTATACTTTTCTTTTTCATGTTCATTGGTTTCCATGTCTTTATAATGTTAGTATTCTGTCTATCATTATTTCAAAGGTAAGTGTACCTGATTTGAATTTTACATCTTTAGAATTAAAATGAACTTCAAACATATACTTACCTCTGACACACCTGCCTCTTTTTCCCACAACTGAATTTTCATAATGACTGCACGTTTTAGTAAAATCTAGTATTTCAAAAGCAGATCTTATGTAAGAACCCCTTATGCTTGTGAACTAAGTCCCATGGAAAGTGAGAGGAAAGCATATAAACAACACTTCAAAACCTCTGGTGATTATAGTTATGTGAACAGTGAAAAGTATATAAACAACATTTCAAAACATATGATAATTATAGTTATGTAAACTATGAAACTCATGCTGAAAGAAATGCAGCAGGAAGGACAACAGAAATAATGATAAGTTACACTATGATATGTAAGTTGGTGTTGTTTGTTCTGTATTTCATTTGGTCTGATTTTTATAGTTTCCATAGCTATATATACACATGTTGTGCTACTTACAACTTTATCAGAGATCACCACCACTGATGGCCTGGCCTGGCATATCATGGTGGTTAGGGTGCTTGACTCGCAATCTGTGGTTCATGGGTTTGAATCCCCTTCATACAAAACATGCTCACCATTTTAGCCATGAGGGCATTATAATGTAATGGTCAATTTCACTATTCATTGGTTAATAGAGTAGCACAAGAGTTGCCAGTTGATGGTGTTGACTAGCTGCCTTCCGCCTGGTTTATCACTGCTAAATTAGAGACAGCTCTTGTGTAGCTTTGCACAAAATTCAAAAAAAAAAAAACACCACTGATAAAAATGAAAACATTTATTTTTTTAGATTCAACCAGGAAGTCCTGTTGCTGTTCAACGAATGTCAGCTTTACCACTTCATAGAGAAATAAGTAAAGATCCTGATGAACAATTAGATACAGGAGCAATAGCTAGGTAAGAAACCAGCAAATCCAGCTCTCAGATTTAAATAAACTGGACCTCTTATAATAAATATTAGAAACACAGTAATACCAAACATCTATAGTTACAAACATTTCAGAATTCTTTCAAATTCCATCATCAGTGTTAGTTCTCTCACCACAAGTTCAATCGAATTAATCAACTTTGTAACCATTTTATGCTCATTATACTTTCCATACTATAACTTTAATACAGTATGGTTTTATTTCAACTAGTAAATGTGGTAATACTGGACTGACTGTTTCCACAACTGAATGTGGTTACACTGGGTAACTGCTCTACTTTGGTCTTGTTTCTACTGGTGAATGTGGTTAAACTGGGTTGACTACTCTACTTTGGTGTTGACTCAATTAGTGAATGTGGTCACACTAGCATGATTACTTTGTTGATTCAACTAGTGAATGTAGTTACACTGGGCTGACTACTTTGGTGTTGATTCAACAACTGAATGTGGTTACACTGCGCTGACTACTCTAGTTTGATCTTGTTTCAACTAGTGAATGTGGTTACACTGGGCTGACTATTTTGTTGTTGATACTACTAGTATAAGGCAGACTTTCATTAAACATTACAAGTCTTTTGTACACAAAGTCATTTTTATGTTAAGATTAAAAATACTTTTCTTTGTCTCAAAAATCTCAACTTTCATATGCATAATTTCTAAAACATCCTAAATGAATTTCAAACGTTTTATTAAGTAAAACTTTATATTTTATGTTATTTTCTCTACCCTAACTCTAAATAACCCGAAATTCAGAATAAATCTAAATCACACTTTTTTTCTTTCTAGAATGACTTCAAATTGTAACTTGAAACTACCATTGTTTATCCTAAATAGCTTTAAACTCATAACAATATACATCTGTTGATACTTAAATTTTATTGTTTTCTTGCCCTTTTCAGTACTCCTTCCTTACTTTTTGTGTTCTTCTTATTACCATGGCTCCATTTATATACCTGGATTATCTGCAGTAGTTTTTCTTGCTTCTTGGTAACCCAGACTAATATTGTATAACTTCTGTTATTGTTCTTTTCTGAGAGTGTTTTCCTCTTTCTTGATCTTGCCCTTTACTCCTATTCCTCATCTATATTAGTTTCCTGCTAACCTTTTCATATCACATTCCAGGCCTTCATCTTTTTTCTTTTCTTCTCACTTCTGATGTCTAGTTCATCACTCTTGTTGTCAGTGATTATCACACATGCATGATACTTGTGGATGAGCTGATGTTATTATGTAGTGCTGGGCAATCATCGAAAATGGAAAGGCTTTCTTTAATAAAGATTCTGAGATGAAACCTCAGCTATGTACACAGCTTAGCCATCTTTCTCAGTGTGTCTTCCAAAGAAATTTGCATACCACTAGCCTTCAGGCAACTCCCACTAATTGCACATTATTTTATGTCAATTGCACTACTGCATGATGATGCCATCATGGGACAAAAGCTCTCTACCAGTAGGAGAATGACACACCTCCCCATGTACAATAACTTCCCCTATTTGCTTGCACTTGTGAAACTTCATCATTCTCCTCAACATTGTATTGTACTGAAGTGTTTAACTTTCTCATGTGTTCAATTTATTGACATTTGCATTGTTAAGAAAACTTTCATTTTCATTAACTGTTATTTCAAAGGCTTTAATTTTTTATCATGAATTCTCAAATGATGATGATTTATACTTAGTCCTCAATCCATGACATGATTACATTTAATCCCCATTCCACCATGGCATTAGGAGGCTCATTAAACTTATTATTCAATGTATTGTTGATTACCACATTTCTTCCTGGGCTTCCTACTGTCATCTCGTCAGTTGAATTTCTTTTTCCTTAATTGGTAATGATCTGCTGGACCTGTGCCCTGAGCTTGTTTTGCTTTAGGTAGTTTCTTACCATTTGTGTTCCCCTGCAGTTAGGACTTGGGTTAAGTCCTTTCCAGTACTTCTTCCTTACTTCTTGTGCTCTTATTATTACCATGGCTTCATTTATTTACCCGGATGTCTGCAGTATTTTTTCTTGCTTCCTGGTAACCTAGACTAATATTCTACAACTTCTGTTCTTATTCTTTTCCAAGGGTTTTTTTCATCTAGATCAGTTTCCTGTTAACCTTTTCATTCCACACTCCGGGCCTTTTTTTTTCTCTTCTTCTCACTCTTCTTGTCAGTGATTATCACACACGTATGATACTTGGGTATCCATCTTTTCTTCTGCTGTTGGTTTCACTTTCTGCCTGTATGTCTGGAGACTTACAATGCTAGAAGCTGGTTTCGATACCTCTGGTGGGATAGCATAGATAGCCTATTGTGTAGCTTTGTGCTTAGCTTCAAACAAACAAATCCTCATTCTCTTCTATTCACTTCTCTTTCCATTTCCTATTCTCCTCTCTATGACTCCATTGTGGTCTTCTTCACCTGGTCTGTAGTCGGCCATGGTTGATGTATCAGACACTTTCCTCCATATCTTTTTTGGCCTTTCCTCCCTTTGTTTCTCTTTTCTGTCCATCCTCTTTTCATCTTTCCATTTCTTGCTCTTCCTTTTGTCTCAGCATCAGCTCCTTTATAATCATTGGTTCATTGAGAGCCTTCACTTGCCATATTCACAACCTAGTGCTAACATTCCTTATCATTGACTTATCTGTCAACCTATTCTCAAATGTTTTCCCTTCTTTTACCTCCTTTCTTTTATGATGAGTTGGTTGAAATGGGGACTTATATTAAAATCTAATCCCTTTTTCATGTCCACTTTGTGTTGGGTACATTTGTCATTTTCTTTCTCTTTCTTCTCGTCCAAGTTCGTCCCTCATCTTCGTCTGTGAGCTATGACATATCTGGTCACCAGGTTTTACACTTTCCATTCTCTTCCTGCATGATATGTTCTTGTCCTTTTAGAGACTCTGGCTTCCCTAAAGCTCCTAATCCTTTTGGGGCATGCCGTATATCCTACAGTGTAGTTTTGGACCCAAGTTTTTTTCATGGGGTCCTTGTTGTCTCCTTTAGAACTTGTCATTACAGTGCCTGTACTACTTCATGTGTTCCCTTACCTCATCTCTAACTATATCTCTCCCTTCTTCAATGCTTCTTTCTGTGATTGAGATACTTTTTTTGATGAGGACAGGACTTCTGATGTTTGTACTCCCGACAATATTTCACCCCACAGCAATATGCTCGACCTACAGGCATGTTTCCATTCCTGCCCATACAGGTGGTTCACTAGGTCATGTTCTACTTAGTCTATTCCATAGTCTTTCCTTACTCCAACTGTCCTTGAGGATCCTGTTCCAGGGCCTTTTGTTTTGGGGCATTAGCCATACATGTGTGAGCCCATTCACATCATTTGCTTCAATTTTGGTGGCAGATCACTTCTCTCAGCCAGTCTGTATTCCATCATCAGAGTAGCCACTACAACTCCATGTCTTCCATGGGGTTTACCGTTGATTGGACATGCCCCTCTTGGATGGTTTTCCTACCCCTTTCATCTCCAATCTTCTTCTCTTATGGTCCTTTATCTCCCATCCTTCAGCTCTAACTGTCGATTTTTTCAGCCAGGTCTATTCTTACCTCTTTCTTTACACTTATTCTATTTGTCTTCTCTTTCTGGTCCTCAGTTTACACACTACTCTCTTTCTTTGGCCCTATTTTTCTCACCTTTTTGATCTGCTTGATAATCACACACCCTTCCTCTCCCTATTATTGCCTCTCTCTCTTGCTTTACATTCTCATACAGGAATGTCCTCTCTCCACCCTCGCACATGGATTCTGCTCAATCTGTTGCCCATTGGACTGGGCTATTGACTGATGTGACATTATTCTTGTCACATTCTTTTGTTATTGATCCTTCCATCAACCCTTTCCTCTTGGCACCACCTTCCTGAATTTTTTATCCAAATGTTTATCAATGGATTCTTGGTCTCAGCCGTTCCTAGTTGTTGGGTGGCCCTGTCCATAGACTTTCTCCTTTTCCTGTACCCAGTGGTGTTTCTTCCCATGTTCTCTCCATTACATTCTGCTCCTCTGTTCTCCTTTTCCAGTAACCAGTGGTGTTTCTTCCCCTGTTCCCTTCATTACATTCTACTCCTTTGTTCTCCTTGTTCCTCCTTGCTCAACTCCCTTGCCTGACTGAGACCAGAATGAGGTTTTGCACAGTCTTGTGCATAACCCATTTCAGCCATTGATTTCCTGACTTTTGTGCCATTTTATCTCCTGACTTGTTTCCTCCCACTTCACCCCTGTGATTATCATTGTTCTGATGTATTTCCTACAGATGATCCTCTTATTGTACTTTTCCTTTTTCTGGACAAATTTTTCCTTGCATTTTGACCAATTGAGTTGTACCCCGTACTTTTTTTCCTATTTTTCCTATTTTTCTTCCTTCTATTTGTCATCTTTTGGATCATTCACACCCTGCTTGGCTCATGTGTCCTGTTGGGATGTTCAGTGTAGCTTATCATGGACCTCTTCCTCTAGAGGTCCCCAACTTTGTCTGTCCCTTCCCCGAGACCCCTCTTTTTCATGGACCTCATTCCTTCTTCCCTTATGGGATAGGTCTGTGAACTCCTCCATTGACATGTTCATTTCAGGATGTGGATGCTCACAGACTATTTCCCATTATCTTCCCATTCAATTCATCACTTTTTTTCATTCTCTTACATCCATTCTTTGATAGCCCTTGGATGGGATCCTACAGGCAGGCATTTGGACTCTCTCAACACATTCATCTTCTTTTCTACACCTTTTGGCTGTTTTCTGTTCTGATGGTTTTCAGATTCTATAGGTCACTATTCTTCAATCACTCACAGTCTGTGAGAAGAATACATACTATTTCTCTTTAGAACCCCTCTTTCATTCCAAAGGTTCCAACCAGGTGGCTGGTGTTGCCTCCTAGGATATGTTTACCCAAAATCCACTTTGAGCTAGGATAGTAAAAAGCACTTACATCATCCACTCTGGTTCTACATGTGCCCACTGTGAGATGGGGTGTTCCAGAAGACCACTTAACTCTTTTCAGAATGGGTATCATTTTGTGTACATTGCAGGAGGTTATAGTGAGTTACATTGAAAATGTAATTAACTATTTTCTTATCATGGTATATAAATACACCTTATGCCAGATTTAATAGGGTCAGATTTCTTATAGTTGGTATCTGTGACTTGTTGATGATACATTTCAAAAATAAATGGACAGCACACAATCTGATAGCTTTAAAATATTGTATTCAAAAAAATCAAGCGTACGTAGAAGACTTCATTACACTGTTGGTTACCACATTTGTATCCAGAGTTTTAAATAATGTCTCCTTTTTGTCAAAGTTTACACAGGTCAGTTTGATTACTTTAGAACACCCTTTGACAAGACTAAATATTCTCCTCTGTCTCTGTGATTACATTACAAGCTGTGAAACTCACCTTAGAAGTCAACTGTTGTGTCTAAACTGACACACAGTTTAACTTCACTTTAACTTTCACTAATTTGGTTGCCTATATATATACTGCCTGACTGAGGCCTAGAACTTTCTACAAACTACGAGACATTATGATGTAACAATACTCACATAAAGCAATGAGAAAAATTCAGAAGGTTTGAATAACATGACATCAATTCACAACAACTGAACTATGCAACAAATGATTCATAAACAGTTATGTAAGTTAGCTTGCCATAACTATCATTTCTAAAAATAACTTACTTTAATGCTCACACATGTAAACTAAATAATACTCTTGTATTAAACTTAAAAACAGTTAGTCGTGTATATCTAACACTTGACCTAAAAACGTAGATAATAATCCAAATTTTAATGTTATAAAAGTTTTAAGTTCTTAATTTTTATAAGGCAATATTAAAAAAAATCCTCAATTTTCCTTAGTGTGAGAATTTGGACAATTGCTTTCTAGGCATCCCCTCTTCTCTAATTTATTTACTACCCCTCCAAGAAGTACGAAATTTAACGTAAATTACTCTTTATAATGTTGTCATCGCTCAGACAAAGCATAATTTTTATAGCTTTCAATCTTATTTGGTTACAGAGCCATAAAATAGGAAATCAGACCCTACATGCCATGCCCACCTGTCACATCCTTTCATTCAGAAATTGTTAATAGTTCTCTCTTACGTTTGATACTACATTATTTATAACCAATAGAAAGCCAAGGTTTTAATCTATCAAATGGCATATTATATTACATTGTTTTCTATATCAGCTCTTGTCACATAGTTAGAAAGATAGGAAAATTGTGATAGTTATATAACAGTCTGCTTTTATAATATATAAAAGTAGGGTTAAGTGTCATCAACAATATTAAACTAGGAATTTTTAAAGTAAACATATTGGCCTATATTATGTGTTCTAAGTATTTGCCAAATTAGATATTTTTTTCTGTAATAACTTATGTTTAATTTTATATTTTATTGGTTTTTGATATATGAACAACAAGCCTATTCAGCAACACATGTATGTGTTTTAATTTCATGTGCAATATGGTATGGTTCTGTAAGAGTTAACGTTGTTTACTAAATTATGTAAATTATGCTGTTTTCAAGTGTCAATATTTCTGTTGGTAGATTTAAAATAAATATGTAAAACTATTGATTCATGTACCATCTTACAAAATTGCAGAAATGGATTCAGCTTGCCCTATTTCAAAACAAAGTTGGTACACTTGATATAAAACATTACAGAATATGCTTTTATTCTGTTAACAGTGAATTAAATCAAATCTAAAAGACTAAATGAAATGACTAAGGTAATACATGAAGCTATGTGCAGTACATTGTATTTATATTTTTTACATCTGAGGAAGGTGTTTGATACACATTTGTGTAAACTACATCCATATTGATGAAAGGATTGTCTGTCATAAAAAAATAATAAAAAAACAATGAGAAAAATTGTCTACATCACCAGAATGAGAATTGTGACAAAGTACTACTACATCATAAATGGGGGATTCAGATGTTCATTCATAGTTTATATAGGGTAGTCTTTCTATTTCAAACTGATACAGTCAATAAATATACCTTTTGTTTAGAATTCATAAGTTCTGGCTGTTTTACATGACAGAAATATTCAGAACAAGACTGACCATTCTTTTGGAAGAAGCCCCACATCTCAAAATCAGGTCATTCAGTGTACTCAAATTTGTGAAAGCTAATAGAGAAATTTATTGCACTGTTGAATAAAGAAGCATAATAGGCCAGTAGTTTAAATTTCCATGCTGACATTTGTTTTTTCAACTTGATTGCTTGGACACAAGTTTTATGTTAAATGTTCACTGCAGATATCTACAGACACGGGGTCACTCAAAACGTCACACTTTGGCTATGGCTACACCAGAAGAAGTTCAAGAAGTCCATTGGAAGACACATCCGTTATTGAAGCAGCGGAGAACTGGACTTGTCACTGTAACAGAAAAAATTTCAGGTAACTACAACTACTAATGAGTTGTTACTATTATTACAGGACAGTATTTAAAAACATATAATCTTTATTAAAGACTCGTTAATCTATTATTTTATGACTATGAGAATGCTTTGAATTTACATACCTCATAATATTTACTAGAATTACATTTGGTTCATTGACATATAAATATGATCTACAATGCAGAAGAAGTTGGTTGTTTTTTTGCAGATTTCAATTCTGTGTGTTTTGGTTGGAAGTTTAACATTTTATCTCTAATAGAGGCAAATGTAGACTGTCTGTGGTGAAAGTGTGTGTTTATTTATTATGTCATTTTTATAAGGTACTGACTGGAGTTTGAAGTATAAAGATATATCTTTATTTTACAAATCTTGAATCTTTGAGTAAACCCTTTTTGGTACAGTTTGGTTATACGTTTCCCAGTGTATGCTTAAGTAAGACTGGTGGGATCTGTATGTACACCATAAAGATATTTTGAATATTGCACTCACATTCTTTTGGTGTCATTTTTATGTACCTACATTGTTTCTATTTTAGGAATACAAAAGTCATGCTGAAAGGGTTAAGGGTCAATAACATATTTACTAGCATGGCTCTAAGTTGTTTGTAAGCAAGTTTATAAAATTTTTGCTTTTTTTCATATCACATTTTTATAAACAAAAATCAGACACCTATTTTTGTGAATTATTGTTCACCATACTACAGATTCTTATATGTGTAATATGATTTACTTCTGATCAAAAAGTATGTAAAATTACTAGGATCAAGGACCATTACAGTTTGTATATGTGAATACATATAGTCAGGTATATTATTTGATTTAAATCCAATAGTTTTAGAAGTAGAAAAATAATATTTTTTTATGTAATATTATTCATTAGCTGTTGGTCGAAGAGCAAGTGATGGCAGTACACCAATGAATCCATATCGCTCTCAACTAGAAAGACTTTACAACCAGACTGTAGGGACAGGCCCTGTACCAATGGATAATGCATTGACTGTGAAAGCTCTTCAACAGCAATATCAACAGTTACAGGTA